TAAAATTGTAGGTTGGGGGATTCTGGGAGTTGAAGTCCACAAGTCTTAAAGTTGTGGCTGGGGAATTCTGGGAGTTGAAGTCCACAAGTCTTAAAGTTGCAGGCTGGGGGATTCTGGGAGTTGAAGTCCACAAGTCTTAAAGTGGCAGGCTGGGGGATTCTGGGAGTTGAAGTCCACAAGTCTTAAAGTTGCAGGCTGGGGAATTCCAGGAGTTGAAGTCCACAAGTCTTAAAGTTGCAGGCTGGGAATTCCGGGAGCTGAAGTCCACAAGTCTTAAAGTTACAAGCTGAGGGATTCTGGGAGTTGAAGTCCACAATTCTTAAAGTGGCAGGCTGGGGGATTCTGGGAGTTGAAGTCCACAAGTCTTACAGTTGCCAAGTTTGGGGACCCTGCTGTAGTGTCCTGAGTGAATGACCACGGAGGACCGTAGGCAGAACCATAGTCAAGGCAGTGGACAGATAAGAGGGAACTGAACCCAGTCCACGAAACTGATGAGGGTAAAACTCTCAGACCAGCCCTTGCCTGGTTCCTCTGGGGAAGCACATTCAGACATGCAAGCTTTTACAAAGTCCATCTGACCTAGATGCCCTTGGTTCCTGCAATAACATATTTCCTCCACAGCAGATGCTAAAGAGGCTGCCCTGCTTCCCAGAGGCAATAATGCCCAATGGATCCTGCCTCCGCTCGCCTCCACAAATTCCAGGTACTTTCCCGCAATATATGTATAAGATACAGGTAAGTCCTCGACTTACAACAGTCTGTTTAGCGACCGTTTGAAGTTGAAACGGTACTGAAAAAAGTGACATAATAGGACCATTTTTCACACTCAGGACCGTCGCAGCCTTCCCCCCCCCCCCCGTGGTCACGTGATCAAAATTCAGCCGCTTGGCAACTGACTCACATTTACGACGGTCGCAGCGTCCCGGGGTCACCAGGATCCCCTTTTGCGACCTTCTGACAAGCAAAGTCAGATTCACTTAACAACTGAGTTACTAACTTCACAAATCGCAGCGATTCCGTTAACAACGGTAGCAGGAAAGGTCGCAAAATGAGGCAAAATCCATTTAAACGTCTCCCTTAGCAACAAAAATTTGGGTCTCAGCTGTAGTTGCAAGTCTAGGCCTAACTGCACAATATTTTCCCACAATCCTTGGGAATTCCTTTATTATTATTATTATTATTATTATTATTATTATTATTATTATTATTTTGAAATACCTTTCAGAATGTTGTGGCTGCTTTAGTTTTATGGGGGGGGGGAATTGCCAAGTCAGAGGAACCCTGAGCCCGAATGAATTATGGTCTTCTTTTCTGTTGGCAGTTCAAGCCTCGCCTCCAAATTCGGAAGCCGCGGAGAAGGGGCATTCGAAGCGGAGAAGATCCAGGGGTCAAGGATCAGCGTTGGGACACAAACTGAGGCGCTTCTGACGTCGGGGAGGAATGCAGAAAAGTCTCTAAGCAATGGAGGTCTTCAACAGGCAGAGGAGACCTCAGCTACGAGGGGGAAGTCCTTGCAGGACTCTTCCAACGTTGGCGAGATGGACTTTGCTGAAGGTCCCAGCGGTGGTGGTGGTGACTCCATCAAAGTAGCCAAGAACCCCCTTGGGCTGCCAACCGAGAGAGAAAACGTGGCTGCCGAGCTACAGACGGTCCAGGAAGACCCTGAAGCTCACAGCTCCAACCCGCATCCAACCAGCAGGTGCCTCCAGGAAGCTCAAGACGTTGGAGAACCTCCACCAGATGCCACCAAGGACGAACCTCCAAGCCCAGGGCAGTCCCGGCTTGGGGGTCAGCCTCCGGGGCCAGGATCGGCCTCCCCGGAGCCCCCCTCAGAAGGGAGCAGCAGCAGCAGCACCCCAGCCTCCCCGGTGCCCGCCCTTCAGAATGTGATAGCCACCAAAAAGGAGTTGTGAGTTTCTAAACTTAGAGGGAGGATCCATCCATCCATCCATCCATCCATCCATCCATCCATCCATCTATATCTATCTATCTATCTATCTATCTATCTATCTATCTATCTATCTATCTCTATCCATCTATCCATCCATCCATCCATTCATCTGTCTGTCTTTTCTTTCATCCATCCATCCATCCATCCATCCATCCATCCATCCATCCATCCATCTATCTATCTATCTATCTATCTATCTATCTATCTATCTATCTATCTATCTATCTATTATCTCTCTCTCATCTATCTATCTATCTATCTATCTATCTATCTATCTATCTATCTATCATCTATCATCTATCTATTATCTCTCATCTATCTATCTATCTATCTATCTATCTATCTATCTATCTATCTATCTATCTATCTATCTATCTATCTATCTATCATATTTCCTTTACATCTGTCAATTCCTTTTCTTGCTATTATCTTTCTTTTTCTTTCCTTTGCACTTTTTCCTTTCTGTTACATATAATCGAATCTATTATATATATTTATATATATGTTTCTGCTATCTTTCCTCTTCCTTCTTCCTTTCCATCAAACCTGACTTCTTCCTTTCGTTTTTTTCCCTTCTTCCTTCGCGTTAAACCGACGTTTATTCTTTCTATCATTTTTCCTTTTTTCTTTGCATCACGCCTGCCTTTCCTTCCTACCTCTTATATTTCTTTTATCTTCTTCCTTTCGCTCGAGTCTGACTCCTCCCTTTCTGCTAAACTTTTTCCTTCCTTCCTTCCTCTGCATTAAATATCCGACTCCTTTCCTTTCTGTTCTTTTTCTGTCTTCCGTTGCCCGATGTCGGATTTCTTTCCTATCCAGGCTGCGAAGGAACAGCTCCTCCGACAAGCTGGTCCGGACCAAACAGCACCTCCCGAAGAAAGCTGCGTCCAGTGCCAACCTTTTTAACCGTTCCAGCAGCCTCGAAAAGTGAGAAAAAGCACTTTGCATATGATACAGGCGCTTCCTCGGCTTTCAAACATTCGGAACGGAAAGAAAAAAAAAATGACTTACGACCGAGGCGCTGGGAATCTTTCTAACGTTCTGTTTTTACTTTGCAGCCGATCGAAGGATCCCACTTTAAGTCCAGGTGAGCTGCTGGCTGTGTTTGTGTCTTTACATTTGGCAAGTGTGGTGGGTTTTTTTTCTCCAGGACCAGGATGAGCGTTGCTTGTCCCCACCTCCGAAGCTGGGGGACAGTGGCTGCCCATGGTCGCTCAGAGGCCCCCTGGACCCCGAGATGGATGGCAGATAAATTTGATGATGATGATGATGATGATGATGATGATAATTGATCATCACACAGCTATTGTTCAGGCTGGGTTTGGCATTTTTTGTCTACCTGTCGAGTCCTTACCAAGGATCTAGAATAGGCAGATGTGGATGTTTGATGGTGTTACAGATCTCGTCGCAGGATGGAAGCTGTTTCCAGTAAAACCGCCATATTATTATTATTATTATTATTATTATTATTATTATTATTATTATTATTATTATTATTATTATTATTATTATTAATCATTGCACAGTCAGACAGATGTTCAGACTGGATTTGGCATTTTTGTCTGCCTATCGAGTCCTCACCAAGGATCTAGAATAGGCAGATTTGGATGTTTGATGGTGTTACAGATCTCGTCGCAGGATGGAAGTTGTTTCCAGTAAAACCGCCATATTACTATTATTATTATTATTATTATTATTATTGATCATTGCACAGTCAGCCAGATGTTCAGACTGGATTTGGCATTTTTGTCTGCCTATTGAGTCCTCACCAAGGACCTGGGATAGGCAGATGTGGATGTTTGATGGTGTTACAGATATCGTCGCAGGATGGAAGCAGTTCCTAGTAAGGCCGCCTTTTGCAATTGGCTCATGGCGAATTTGTCAATGCCGATGATGGTGTTCAAGTGGTGCTCCAGTTGTTTTGGGATTGCACCCAAGGTGCCTATGACTATTGGTACCTTGGGTGCAATCCCAAAACAACTGGAGCACCACTTGAACACCATTGGCATTGACAAATTCGCCATTAGTCTATTGCTATTATTATTATTATTATTATTATTATTATTATTATTATTATTATTATTATTATTATTATTATTATTATTATTATTATTATTATTACTACTACTACTACTACTACTACTATTACTACTGTTACTATTACTATTTCTGCTAAGGAAAGGCCAAATAGACTCTTTCTGTTCTTGCCTGCAGGACCGACAAGCTCTCGTCGTTTGAATTATAACCTGGGTGAGGATCTTCTAAAAAGGAGTTACTGGCTGGTTCAGGGGGTGGGCTTAATTAAGGGTGGGTGGGAGATGGCTGGCCATTCTTCTCAGCGTCTCATAAAGTATTATTCCTCGGTTTGCGATATTATTTTGTCAGAAGCCGGCATTCATCGGAATTTCCAGCAAAGCATGCCGGCTGCGGACGAGTTTTATTTTATTTTATTTTATCCTTTTATATTTTATTTTATTTTATATTTTATTTTATTTTGTTTTGTTTTGTTTTATTATTTATTTTATTTTACTTGATTATTTTATTTTAGTGCTTTGTTTTATTGTGTTATCTCACCTTACACTTCATACTTTGCTATTTTACTTCACTTTATTTTGCCTCGTTTTATCTTATTTCAATATACCTCACTTTATACTTAAAAGTATTTATTTTGCTTTACTTTTATTTCACTTCACTTTATACTTTACCGCTGTACACTGCACTGAGTTTATTTTACAGTACTTTAACTTTGCTTTTACTTTCAGTTTCACTTTTAACTTTCCTTTATTCTTCATTTTTGTTTTTAGCCAGTTGTGTTGCAATACTGTCACCTGGGGACAGTTCCACTGCTTTATTTACACTAATTGGTCTGTGTGTTGGGGGGGAAACACATCTCACCGTTATTTTGCACACTTCTCTCTGTTCAGTTTGGGAGGCAAGGTTGCACAGTGCTTATCCTTCCTTAAAGCAAGGTGAAACTTTTGAAGCTTCCTGCAAAAAAAGGTCTGCTCTTTTTCTAATTATTCCTTAATTATCCTCTGTCCTGTCAGAGGGACTCTCTATCAAGATGTTTCTACGCGGACGGCCCATCACCATGTACATCCCTTCCGACTTCCATAACTATGAGGATCTGCGCATGGAGCTCCCAACACAGAAGCTGCAACTGGACTGGGTGTATCCTTAAAAAAAAAATTCACGCTGGTGCACGGTGGCGTGCACCAATGGATGGAAACTCATCAAGGAGAGAAGCAACCTAGAACTAAGGAGAAATTTCTTGACAGTTAGAACAATTAACCAGTGGAACCACCTGCCATCAGAAGCGGTGAATGCTCCAACACTGGAAGTTTTTAAGAAGAGACTGGACAGCCATTTATCCGAAATGGTATAGGGTTTCCTGTCATCACTCCAGGACTACCTATATCTGGACTTCAACTCCCAGAATTCCATGCGGGCAATGGAACTGTGGGAACTGAAGTCCCAACGGCTTTCAGTGGCCAAGGTTAAAAGAATCCCGCTCTTTTCCTTAACACCTCTCCAGCTACGGCTACCGGGGACGTGACTGCCGTTCCAACCTCTACGTCTTAACATCCGGGGAGCTGGTCTACTTCATTGCCTGCGTGGTGGTGCTTTACCACGTCCAGCGGCGCACGCAGCGCCACTACCTTCGCCACACCGACTGTGTGCGCTGGTGAGTGGGTGGATCACGGTGACCTTGTTTGCTCACCGATCCTGGCAGGATCTAACGGAAGAAGTATTCTTCCCACGGGCCAGGGTGGTTAGATGGTGTGGGGAACAAATTGGACGAAAATCAAAGGGTTCCAGAAATGAAGAAATCCTTTTAAGGATGCACATTGACGGTTCCCCCTTCCAAGCTCCCCATCCCCATTTCATGCCTAAGGCGGGACTAGAACTCACCGTCTCCTGGTGATTGGCCCAAAGTCACCCAGCCGGCTTTCATGCTTACGGCAAGACTAGAACTCACCTTCTCCTGGTGATTGGTCCAAAGTCACCCAGTTGGCTTTCATGCCTAAGTCAGAACTAGAACTTACCAGCACCTGGTTTCTCCTTCAGAAGGGAAGCGATGGCGGATAGAATCGGAAAAAGATGATTTTTTTTCAATTTCTTGCAGTCTTGCAGTACATCCTGACGGAGTCCGTGTGGCCTCGGGGCAGATGGCTGGCGTGGACAAGGACGGCAAGGTAATTAGCCTTTCAGGGTAGTCCAGACAAGAAGCACAATCAAGAATACTATAGTCAGTCCTCGTTTAGCGAGCATGCATGGGGATGAAAAACCAACTTTACTACAGTAGGGCTCACCCCCATAAATCAAGCTAGGGCTTATTTTTGGTGTAGGCCTTACTTTCGGGGAAACGGGGCTAATTTTTTTCCTGCTGTCTCAGTTTTGTTGCTCAGAAATGCTGATACAGGGGTTTTGATGGTGGGGTGTCTTTCCTACAGCCGCTGCAGCCCTTTGTTCACATCTGGGACTCCGTCACGCTGCTGACCTTGCAGCAAATCGGTCTGGGCAGCTTTGAGAGGGGCGTCGGTTCCTTGGCTTTCTCCACGGCGGTGAGTCCCTCCCCGGCTCAAAAGGAAAGGCGGAAAAGGAAGAATAAACTTGGTTTTTCTCCAGTGCCCTTTGCGGAATATCTGGGTCTGGCTTTGCAGGGCGGGAATTGAACCCCGGAACAAAATAGTACATTGGAGGAGATGGTTTTTCACTTCTGTATTTCAATGTTTCTCTCCCGTTTTGCGGGTCTGCGAAAACTTAACTGAGAAGTCTCGCCTCCCTTATTCTTCCTGGGGTCGTCTTTAAGCCCAAATTGACCCCCACTTGCAAACTGGGCCCTTGCCTGCGAGGAATTTCAGTGGAGCCGTTGTCAGCTAGGTCAGACAGGAAACCCAGCCCATGAGCTATTTCTACTTTATTGTGAAGCCACATTAACAGAATCTCGCCAGTCTGAAGGTACAGTTCTCCCACCAGCTTCTTTCCAGCCTGAGAAACTAGGGAGGGTCCCTTCGGAACGTCTTCCTCCATCCGTTATGCAGCTGAGGCTATGCTGTCTCTTATCTGATCCTTCTCTGGGGGGCATCTTTTCATCCATCCCTCAAGGTCTTTCCCACATATCACTCCCGCCACCTCCTTCACAGCCTGGGAAACTAGGGAGGGTCCCTTCTGAGCCTCTTGCCCTGCCTGTTATACATCTGAGGGCTATGCTGTCTCTTATCTGACCATTCCTGGGCAGGGCCTCTTCGCTCTATTTTCCAATGTCTTTCTCACATACCTTAAACTCTTTCCATAGATCTAGATTCCCCCTCCCTTTTTACAGCCTGAGATACTAGGGAAGGTCCCTTCTGAGTCTCTTTCTCCATCCATTATACATCTGAGGGCTCTGCTGTCTCTTATCTGACTGTTCCTGGGGTCTTTTTGCTCTGTTTCCCAAAGTCTTTCCCACATACCTGCACAACTCTGAACTCTTTCCATAGATCTAGGTTCCCCCTCCCTTTTTACAGCCTGAGATACTAGGGAGGGTCCGTTCTTTCTCCATCCATTATACATCTGAGGGCTCTGCTGTCTCTTATCTGACTGTTGCTGGGCAGTGTCTCTTTGCTCCCTCTCCCAAGGTCTTCCCCAGATATCCTTGCACATACCTGCACACACTCTGAACTGTTTTCCATAGATCTAGATTCTCCCCCCCCCTCTTTACAGCCTGAGAAACTAGGGAGGGTCCCTTCTCACCCTCTTTCTCCACCCATTATGCAGCTGAGGGCTCAGCTGTCTCTTATCTGACTATTCCCTTGGCAGTATCTCTTCATCCCGAAGTCTTTCCCACATTCCAGCTCTCTCCTTCACAGCCTGAGATACTAGGGAGGGTCCCTTCTGACCCTCTTTCTCCATCCATTATACATCTGAGGGCTATGCTGTCTCTTATCTGATTGTTCCTGGCTAGGGTCTCTTCACTCTTTTTCCAAAAGTCTTTCCCACTTACCTGCACAACTCTGAACTCTTTTCGTAGCTCTAGATTCTCTCCTCCCACCTTTACAGCCTGAGAAACTAGGGAGGGTCCCTTCTGGCCCTCTTTCTCCATCCATTATGCAGCCGAGGGCTCAGCGGTCTCTTATCTGGCTGTTCCCTTAGCAGCATCTCTTCGCCCTGTCTCCCAGGGTCTTTCTCCGTCACAGCCTGGGAAACCGAGTCTTTTGCCCTGTCCCATCCTGCAGCTGAGAGCTCCGCTGTTTCTTGTCTGACTGTTCCCTTGGGGGAGGGGCATCTTTTTCATCCCTCCCCCAAGGTCTTTCCCGCAGACCGTTCCGCCCTGACCTGCCGTTCTTTCTCCCCCTCCCCCAACCAGGACGAGGGCGCCTACCTGTGTGTGATCGACGAATCCAACGAACACATGCTCTCCGTGTGGGATTGCCTCCGTGGCACCAAGCAAGCTGAAATCAAGGTGAGAGGGGTGGAAAGAGGCCGATGGAAGATGCAGTGATGCTGGCCAGATGTCAGCCAGACGTGTTAATTTTTTTAAAGGGGGAGGAGCATAGAAACCGGAACAGGGAGATGGTGACCCAAAAAAAAAGGAGATTGAATCACCTATTTGGGTTGCAGAAGACCAAATGGGAAGAAGAAATGGAATATTTGTTGTGGGAGGGGGGGCCAAAAGGAAGGCTACAGCTAGTCCTCGACTTACAACAGCTGGTTTAGGGACCGTTCAAAGTCACAACGGCAGCGGAAAAAGGGAATCATGACCGTTTTTCACACTTAACGACCGTTGCAGGGTTCCCCGTGGTCCTGTGATTCACGTCCGGACGCTTGGCAACTGACTCATATTTATGACGGCCGCAACGTCCCAGGGGGGTCACGTGATCCCCTTTTGCGACCTTCTGACCAGCTAAATCAAGGGGGAGGCCGGATTCACTTAACGACCGTGTGACTTATTTAACAATGGCATTCATTTGCTTAACGACTGCGGCAAGAAAGGTCGTAAAAACGGGCGACCAAACTCACTTAACAACCGTCTTGCTTAGCAATGGAAATTTTGGGCTCAGGTCGTAAGTCGAGGACTACCTGTATTTGCAGGTGTGATGGCGGCCTACGTGAATTGGTACTTTGATCCTGCAGGGGATCCATTACACACTCAGGAATGGATCCTGAGGGGTTCCGTAGCCTGAGGGGTTTTTTTTTGCTCTTCCTTTTCCTATCCAGAGCACCAACGAATCCGTCCTGATGGTGGAGTTTAATCCCCAAGACAGTAGCAACATAATCACAGCTGGAAAGTCGCACGTCTATTTCTGGACCTGGGTGGGAAGCAGCTTAACCAAGAAACAGGGGATCTTTGGGGTAAAAGAATCGTGGAAGGATTACATCTATGTAACTCACCGTCTCCTGGCGATGGGCCCAAAGTCATCCAGTCAGCTTTCAGGCCTAAGGTGGAACTAGAATTCACCGTCTCCTGGTGATGGGCGTACAATCACCCAGCCATCTTTCACGCTTAAGCTAGGACTAGAATTCACCGTCCCTTGGTGTCTGGTCCAAACTCACTCAAGACAGCTTTCATGCCTAAAATGGTGCTAGAACTCACCATCTCCTGGTGATTGGCCTAAAGTCCCCTAGCCGGCTTTCATGCCTAAGGCAGGACTAGAACTCACCATCTCCTGGTGATGGGCCCAGAGTCACCCAGCCGGCTTTCCTGCCTAAGGTGGGACTAGAACTCACCGTCTCCTGGCGATTGGCCTAAAGTCCCCCAGCCGGCTTTCCTGCCTAAGGCGGGACTAGAACTCACCGTCTCCTGGCGATTAGTCCAAAGTCACCCAGCCGGCTTTCGTGCCTAAGGCGGGACTAGAACTCACCGTCTCCTGGCGATTAGTCCAAAGTCATCCAGTCGGCTTTCCTGCCTAAGGCAGGACTAGAACTCACTGCCTCCTGGCGATTAGTCCAAAATCATCCAGTTGGCTTTCCTGCCTGTGGCGGGACTAGAACTCACCGTCTCCTGGCGATTAGTCCAAAGTCATCCAGTCGGCTTTCCTGCCTATGGCGGGACTAGAATTCACCGTCTCCTGGTTTCCTGTATAGGCAGTTTGCAGAGTTGACACAGTTCTTGCAAACCGCCCCTTTGGTGGTGCCAAGCTCTTCCCTCCGTTTCCCTTGCTAGAAATACAAGAAGCCCAAGTTTATCCAGTGCTTCGTGTTTGACACCAACGGGGATGTCCTCACGGGGGATTCCGAAGGCAACATCCTCACGTGGGCGAGGGCAGCGGCCGACATTCGCACTCTGGGCAAGGGGGCGAAAGGTAGGCGAAAGGGGAGAGACCGAGACTTTCGTCGGGATGGGGAAGGTGGATACTGTGGGACTGCGAGCCATCCCTTGTCGTAAAATGGGGGCCAAACTCGCTTACCAATTGTCTTGCTTAGCAACGGAAATTCTGGGCCCGGTTGCGGCGGGAAGTCGAGGACCACCTGTAAAATAGTGGGATCCGTTGGTTGAAAAACAAAATCTGATGAAAAGCGACAACGGATAAACTTTGTACTGTCTCTTCCTCCAACAGAGACCTATCAGATCAGCAAGCAGACCCACGCGCACGAAGGGAGCATCTTTTGCCTCTGCCTGTGCCGCGACGGTTCGGTCTTGAGTGGGGGCGGCAAGGACCGTCGTTTGCTTCAGTGGAGCCCCCTCCTCACTGTCCTCCAGGAGGTGGAGGTAAGGTTGTGTGTGTGTGTGTGTGTGTGTTTGGGGGCGGGGGGGGAACAGACTTCAGCAGGAGCACCTCAGTACAAGTTCGTTCCTATAATTTTCTCCCTCACTAATGACGTCTAGAGCCTTGTTAAGTCTCAGAAGGGGATTGTTAGCCCTTTGAGGTGGCCCAGCCCTGGAAAACAAAGTGATGAATACTAATAACAACCATATGTCTGAAATGGTATAGGGTTTCCTGCCTGAGCAGGGGGTTGGACTAGAAGACCTCCAAGGTCCCTCCCAACTCTTTTCTTCTATTCTATTCTATTCTATTCTATTCTATTCTATTCTATTCTATTCTATTATTCTGTTCTGTTCTGTTCTGTTCTGTTCTATTCTATCCCATCCCATCCCATCCCATCCCATCCCATCTCATCCCATATATTCCATTCCATTCCATTCCATTCCATTCTATTCTATTCTATTCTATTCTATTGTATTCTATTCTATTATTCTATTCTATTGTATTCTATTCTATCCCATCCCATCCCATCCCATCCCATCCCATATATTCTATACTATTCCATTCCATTCTATTCTATTCTATTCTATTCTATTCTATTCTATTCTATTCTATTCTATTCTATTCTATTCTATTCATTATTCTATTCTATTCTATCCCATCCCATCCCATCCCATCCCATCCCATCCCATCCCATATATTCTATACTATTCCATTCCATTCCATTCTATTCTATTCTATTCTATTCTATTCTTCCCATCCCCATATATTCTATTCTATTCTATTCTATTCTATTCTATTCTATTCTATTCTATTCTATTCTATTCTATTCTTCCCATCCCCATATATTCTATTCTATTCTATTCTATTCTATTCTATTCTATTCTATTCTATTCTATTCTATTCTATTCTATCAAGTAGTCCTTGACATATAAACATTTCTTTAGCGACCGTTTGAAGTTACAACATAATGTGTGGCTTACAATTGATCCTTGTACTTACGACCGTTGCAGCATAGTTTGCCTGTTTTTAAATATTCTCATTTAACAAATTTTTTTTTTTAACTTTTGGCTCAGATACCGGAGCAATTTGGCGCCGTGCGCACCATCGCAGAGGGCAAGAGCCGGGAGCTTTTGGTGGGGACCACGCGCAACGCCCTCCTACGGGGCAGTTTGGCCGAAGGTTTCAAACCCATCATCCAGGTGAGCAGAGACGCCCCCACTTCAATGCTTCTAGCCCCAGCCTCCTGTCTCCCACTTTATAATAATGAGAATGATAATGATATAGTTGGAAGGGACCTTAGAAGTCATCTAGTCCAACCCCCTACTCAGGCAGGAAACCCTATAGTACCATTTCGGACAAATGGCTGTCCAGTCTCTTCTTAAAAACTTCCAGTTTTGGAGCATTCACCGCTTCTGGAGGCAGGTTGTTCCACTGGTTAATTGTTCTCAATCTCAGGAAGTTTCTCCTTAGTTCTAGGTTGCTTCTCTCCTTGGTTAGTTTCCATCCATTGCTTCTTGTCCTGCCTTCAGGCGCTTTGGAGAATAGCTTGACTCCCTCTTCTTTGGGGCAGCCCCTGAGATATTGCTATCATGTCCCCCCTCGTCCTTCTCTTCGTTAAACTAGACATACCCAATTCCAGCAGCCGTTCCTCATATGTTTCAGCCTCCAGTCCCCTGATCATCTTTGTTGCTCTTCTCTGCACTCTTTCTAGAGTCTCATCCTCTTTTTTACATCGTGGTGACCAAAACTGGAGGCAGGATTCCAAGTGACTCAGTATTCTCAGCCATGACTCAGTTTCTCCTCCTTTGCAGGGCCACACGGACGAACTCTGGGGTCTGGGGACTCACCCCTCGCGGGATCTTTTTCTCACTTGCGGCTACGACAAGCAACTCTGCCTGTGGGACGGCAGTGAACATATGATGGCTTGGAGTCTCACCTTAGAGGTACGGTGGGAGAAAGTAGAACAACCCCAGACACCCCTTGACTTGCAGCCATGCGTTTAGCGACCGTCCAGTTGCAACGGCACCGAAGAAAGCGTTTTACGACGGATCTTCACACTGAACAGCTGTTGCAGCATCCCCAGGGACTCCCCAATCATGTACATGGCAATAGATGCCTTTTAAATGAATTTGAGTTTTGCCACTGCAGTTATCAAAACCTAATTCCCCTCCTGTCTAGAGCTTGATCCCACGGACAAGGATCCTCCTACCTTTTTACAAATTACCACCTTACCAGCTTCTCTCTTTCTCTTTCTCTCTTTCTTTCTTTCTTTCTCTCTCTTTCTCTTTCTTTCTCTCTCTGTCTTTTTCTCTTTTCTTTCTCTCTTTTTCTTTCTTTCTTTCTCTTTTTCTTTTTCTTTTTCTTTCTTTCTCTTTCTTTCTCTTTCTCCCTTTCTCTTTCTTTCTCTCTTTTTCTCTTTCTCTCTTTCTTTCTTTCTTTTTCTTTCTTTCTTTCTTTCTGTCTTTTTCTCTTTCTTTTCTTTCTCTCTCTCTTTCTTTGCTTTCTTTCTTTCTCTGTCTTTTTCTCTTTCTTTTCTTTCTCTTTCTCTCTTTCTTTCTCTCTCTTTTTCTTTCTTTCTCTCTCTCTCTGTCTTTTTCTCTTTTCTTTCTCTCTTTTTCTTTCTTTCTCTCTTTCTCTTTCTCTTTTTCTTTCTTTCTCTCTTTTTCTCTCTCTTTCTTTCTCTCTTTCTCTTTCTCCCTTTCTCTTTCTCCCTCTTTCTCTTTCTCTCTTTCTCTCTCTTTCTCTCTCTCTCTTTCTCTCTGTCTTTTTCTCTTTTTCTTTCTCTTTTTCTCTCTCTTTCTCTTTTTCTTTTTCTCTTTTTCTCTTTCTCTCTTTCTCTTTCTCTCTCTTTCTCTCTCTTTCTCTCTCTTTCTCTCTTCTCTCTCTTTCTCCCTTTCTCTCTTTTTCTTTCTTTCTCTTTCTTTCTCTCTTTGCCCTTCCCAGGAAACAGGACTCTGCGCTGATTTCCACCCAAGTGGGAAAGTGGTGACTGTGGGACTCAGCACTGGACGGTAACTTATCCCCCCTCCCATCACTGGCCATCCTCCCTGGGACTCAGCATGGCTGGTGACCCTTCCTGTTGGTTTGGGGAACAGCTTCTCCAAAACCAGGACGGTAACAGACAAAAGCTTAGTTCCTCTGTCCTACCCTGCAGGGTGGGTAGGTGTCAGCTCGGATCAAAGGGATCTTTCCTTTTGTTCCCATAGCTGCTAAAATCCTAGAAAAAATATATATTGGCAAGATCAAAGGTATCCGCAACACTTTTATGTCCCTCAGGTGGCAGGTGCTGGAGACGGAGACGCGACAGGTTTTGTCCAGCTACACAGATGGAAACGAACAGCTCTCTGTAGTACGTTATTCCCCAGGTTAGATTTTCTGTTTATTTTTTATCTTCTCGTGTTTGTGAAGTTCTTGGTATTCTCTGAACTTGGTTGTTTTTCTGCAGACGTTTCATTACCAAGCTAGGTGACATCAGCAATGCCTGGGAGAGTGAAGTGATTCCTTCCTTCCTTCCTTCCTTCCTTCCTTCCTTCCTTCCTTCCTTCCTCTGCCCCTCCTTCCTTCTTCCCTCTGCCCTTCCTTCCTTCTTTCTTTCTTTCTTTCTTTCCTTCCTTCCTTCCTTCCTTCCTTTTTTTCTTTCTTTCTTTCCCTCCTTCCCTCCCTCCTTTCCCAATTCCTTCCTTCCTCCCTCCGTCCCTCCCATTCTCTCCTTCCTCCCTCCCTCTCTCCCTCCCTCCCTCCTATCCATCCATCCATCCATCCATCCTTCCTCTATTGTTTCTTCTTTGATTACTCATCTGGTGTTGTTTCCTGCTTATCTGGCTGTTATAAACCACACATTAAGACTGGTGGGACAAGTTACTTATATAAACAGCCAGCACACTTCACTCCCCCGTGCACGGATGATGTTATATAGCTTGATAGCATAACGTCCGCAAGAAAATGACCAAGCTCTGAGAACATGTAACCCCACCATTCAACCCTGAGCTACAATATTTTCTATAATTGGATTTACGTGGGGGTTTTGTTTTTTGTTTTTGGGAAAAGGTTAAGCAGAGAAACAGGGAGCGACATCGGATCCTGGGAGTCTCGCTCCAATATTAACTGGCTGGCTATCTGTTTTTTTCTCTTCCGATCTGGCAAATGATGGTCACATCCCAGATTGTTGGGAAGGACACAATTAGCGGATAAAAATGCCAAATCCAGACTAAACATCTGGCTGACTATGCAGCCAACAATCATAATTTCTTTGCTGATGGAGATAGGCGACTTCCCCTGCTGTCCGGCCTATTTTAAACTTGTTTTTTTATTTTGTCATTTTTTTTTATGCTAGACGGAGAGTTCTTGGCCATCGGTTCCCATGACAACTTCATCTATATATATAGTGTGGAAGAGAAAGGGCATAAATATACTCGTTTTGGCCGCTGCACGGTGAGCAGAAGGGCGAGGAACATAGATAGAGCAAGCCGGAGGGAATGGTTAATCTGGGTGGTGGAAAAGAATGAAACAAACACATCAACTTCCTGGGAAATTTGTTTGTTTATTTATTCTGTCAATTATTACGGATGCTCGTCTTAATGAAATAACTCTGGGCCACCGACAAGTATACAAAACACAGAGGTTTGTATTAAAAACAACCCAAAAAAGCCCATTAAAAACGCCAGATAAAGAAAATAAACTATCCTGCTGAGGTAAGGGAAAAATGGAATCTTTGTTCCATCTTAGCCTGAAAGGAAAATTAAAGTTTAGTAAACTGCCGTAAACCTTTGAAAACGTGTTTTTAATTTTTTGGGTTTTGGTCTTTCGGCCGGATTCTGCTTGCTTACTATCCTTGGTTATCTTGTCACCCTGGAAAGTATCGGATAATCGATCTCTTCTTTTTCTCTCTCACTTCAGGGGCACTCCAGCTTTATTACACATCTGGATTGGTCCAAAGATGGGAAATTCATCATGTCCAATTCCGGGGATTATGAAATCTTGTATTGTAAGTTTGTTTTTTAAAATACAGCAGCAGAGAAAGAAAAAAAAAAAGAGAGAGAGAGAGAGAGAGAGAGAGAGATGTAGTGTGGAAAGCACCAAACTAGAAACTAGGAGATGGCGAGTTCTAGTTCCCCCTTAGGCATGAAAGCCAATTGGGTGACTTTGGGTCAATCACCAGGAGACGGTGAGTTCTAGACCCACCTTAATCATGTAAGCCAATTGGGTGATTTTGGGCCAATCACCAGGAGACGGTGAGTTCTAGTCCTGCCTTAGACATGAAAGCAAGCTGGGTGACTTTGAGCCAATCACCAGGAGACGGTGAGTTCTAGTCCCAATTTAGGCATGAAAGCCTGGGTGGGAGACTTTGGGCCAATCACCAGGAGACTGGGAATTCTAGTCCCACCTTAGCCATGAAAACCGTCGAGGTGACTTTTGGTTAGTCCCTCCCTCTGAGTCCATCCTACCTCACAGGATTGCTGTTGTGAGGAAAACGGGAGAAGGGTGTTATTTATATTCGCCACCTTGAGTTATTGATTAAAAATAATACAGGCGGGATAGAAACAAACACACTCATCACAATCATGATTTTCCTTTCAGGGGAGGTGGCCAGAGGTTGCAAGCTAGTACGGAATCGGTTTGACAACAGGGACCGGGAGTGGGCCTCCTACACCTGCGTGCTGGGTTTCCACGTTTTCGGTAACAGTTTTTACTTGTTTTGACAAGTTGTTGGGGTTTTCGTGAGCGGCCCGGAATCTCCTGGATTGGGGCAGGCATCCCAAATCAGATGGACGAAATCCAATTCAACTCTCCTTTTCGTTTCCTCTTTCTTCCGTACCCTCAACCCAGGGGTTTGGCCCGACGGCTCGGATGGCACGGATATCAACTCCCTGTGCCGTTCGCACAATGAGCGGGTGGTGGCTGTGGCGGACGATTTTTGCAAAGTCCATCTCTTCCAGTACCCTTGTGCCAAGCCCAAGGTAGGACGCTAAGGAAGAAGGGCACTCTTAAACCGGGAAGAATTAGTAAAAATTTTGGCTGGGAGGTAATGCTCAGACATTGTTTGATGGTTCTTATCCTTTTTTGTTGTTGTTTATAAATATTTTATTGATTTTCTATTTTTACAATCAAGTGCCCAATTAAACAACCGGATGACTGAGTCCATTAGTAATTTCGTGGTACATGTCAGCTTCTTCAAACTTAATCCAATATTATTACACCCTCCAATACATCCTCTTTTCATCTGGTAATAGACATTTTTCCCCGCTAAGCAAATACAATTCTTATTGTAGTAAGTAAATATACAATTGCCTATCAACATTCCTTATATTTTTTCCCTAAAGGTATCAATAATATCAGTTTAAATTTATCTTTTAACCAAACTAAAGGAATGGGTGTAAATTGAGAATTACCTGTATCACTGTAAACCTGGGCTAAATTCTTCTCCACCTTTTCCTGCCCTTCAAAATAAGACTGGCAGGAGAATTCCACCCCACTTTGGTGTTTTGGGGTGTCTCAATCAAACAGCGTAGTTTTTAATGTCTCTTCCTCCCCTCTACGTGTTCCTGATCTTCCGCAGGCTCCCAGCCATGTCTACACCGGCCACGGCAGCCACGTCACCAACGTCCGTTTCACCCACGACGACGGCCACCTCATTTCCATGGGGGGCAAGGACACCAGCATCTTCCAATGGCGGATGCTGGGGGGCTCCACTCCCCCGGCCAGCCGGTCCCTCTCCTGCCTTTCCTCGCACGAAGCCGGATCCGGCACCTGAAACTGCCGAAATCCGGATGGATCAACCTTAAAGATGGCAACCGAGTTCTCAGGCGTGGGGAATTGCTCGGAGAGATCTTCTGCGTCGGCGTATGGACCGGTTGGCTTCCCTTCCGCCCTGCTTAACTGGAGAGTTTTTGTTTGCTAACCGTCGTCGCCGTTTGCTTATTAACACAAGGTGAAGGGCAGTCGCGATGCGCGGCTGGGTGACGCCCGCGGCCGTGCCAAATCAAATGTGGTGCGTCGAAACAGCATCACCTTCTCCTGTCCGTGGGCCAGGTGGACGGAGAAGCTGCCGAGCACGGCAGGCAGGTAGAAAGGAAAAATTGGGTCTGTGGAACTTCCTCGGCTTTCGCTCTGTACATGCCTCTGGATCTTCAAAGCCTAGAGAAGATGGGGAATTGGGATCCTCCATCGCTGTTCCCTGTTTAAGTAGTGCTCAACTTACCACCACCTTTGGGATCAGTATTCCTGTTGCCAGGCTAAGGTGCTTGCTAATTGGACGGGCCGTGTTTGACACGGTCGTTAAGCAGATCGCTGCGGTTGTTCGTCATTGGATCTGGCTTCTCCCATGGTTCTTCAGCGGAGTGGCGCCTGATTTTATGACCGTTTTGGCCACGGGGGGGGGGGTTAGACAGGTTGTTAAATGAATCAGGCAGTCCTTAAGCAAATCCAGCTCCTTTCCTCCCATTGACTTTGCCTGTTGGAAGCCAGTTGGGAAGATCACCAATAGTGATCACATGATCCTGGGACACTGCAACCATGTGCCTGAATTTTGATCACATGACCACTGGGGACGCTGCCACGGTCATAAGTGCGAAAATCGGTCATAAGTCACTTTTTTCAGTGGCGTCGTAACTCCGAACGGTCGCTAAACGAACAGAATTGTTGTAAGTCGTGCACTACCTTTATAGCAGTGCTTCCCAAACTTGCACAAATTGCCTAAACTAGGTAAATGTGGGGTTTTTGGGGGTCGCAACAACACACAAACTCATTCATGGTTTTGCAGAAGGAACGATGAAACTCGTGTCAGTGCAAAACGCTGTTTTTTGAAGAAAAAAAGGGACCGTTTGGCGTCCTTTGGGTTAATAAATTCAGGATGAATCTCCTGCGAGGAGGAGGCAGTCGTGATCTGTGGGCCTCACAGAAATTTAATTCAGTAAACAAAATTAAATATCCATGCCCTGACATCTGTTGAAGTAGGATTTTTTTTCTCCATTCCGGCCTTCATAAAAGTGCACAAAACGAAAACGTTCGCTAAAGCCCGAAAAGAGTTGGTGGTTTTTAGAAGGAAAAAGGTTGGGGAAGCACTGTTGTATAGATTTAAAAAAAACCCCACTTTGATTTTGTTTTTACTTTCATTTTGGACCTGGTTGGGTCCAACATGTAAATAGGCGCACAAAAAAGGATGTTTGGAAAGAGAAAATAAACATTTGCATCTCAAATCTTGATAAGTCTTTTTTTCTTCTTTTCTGCTGGATCTGGGCTTAGCAAGGTCAGGATCCCCAAATCTGGTTTAGCGTGACAGGTTTTGAGTTACAGGGAGATTTTCTGTCAAAATTTACTTCCCATTCGAAAGCATTGAACTGTGCTGTAGATTTACAGGTAGTGCTCGACTTAACGACTGTTAAGCCGTGGCGGTCGTAAAGCAGGTCCCTGTGGCCATTACTGAGGGATCCTGGGAACTGTAGTCCCTATTCCAAGTTCCTCCTTTTGTTTACATCAGCGTTTCTCAACCTTAGCAACTTCAAAATGGGTGGACTTCAACTCCCAGAATTCCCCAACCAGCATGCTTTAATCTGGGTGGATTTAGACTCCCAGAATTCCCCAACCAGCTTGATTTAAGATGGGTGGACTTCAACTCCCAGAATTCCCCAGCCAGCATGCTTTAAGATGG